CGAATGAAATTCTGATTGCCGTGACTTTTCGCAGTTTGCCTCAGTTTCCCAACAGCTTGTGTGCCTTTGGTAATCCAGGCGATGATAGAGCTAATGCAGTGTCCGATAACCATAATACATGTGAGTATGTTTTACGGGAGTTTTTACCACTGTTCTCAACGGTCGTCCTTTCTAATCCTTGCTTCGAACAGTCAACGACAGAGTTACGGCTGCAGCAGAGCTACGCGAAAATAGGTCTATAGCGGAGTCACTATCCCTTCTGAGCAGAGCACGAAAACAGCACTATGCCATTATGGAGCGTCGTATAAGATTTCATGGGAACGATAACGACAGTGGCAGCTTGCAGAGAAAGAAAGAGTAGGAGCTAGTCAATGAGCCAGCAAAATACCGACTAGATATAATTTGACACTTATCAACGAGGCTCTGGAACTCTAAAATTGTGTGGAAGGAAGGTTTATCTATATAAGTGTCAACTCTGTCACCCGCGTTAATGAGGTATTGCTAGCCTGTTAGAATCATTTGACAGGGTCCGCAAGCATAAATCTGCTAACGAAAAAATAACAATCCTCTTAATTACGCTGGAACAGACGATAGCTTTGGTCCTGTTATATATTAATACACCTAATTCTGATTGAGAGCACTGTTGCAATTATCTGGCAGGTGCTCCAGGTAAGGAATTCATCAGTCTGATAGGTAACGTCGATGCACATGTCACGAAATATATCAAAAAGTGGAAATGCTCGATAGATAAGAATGGTCCAAAGATCCTAGGAATAACTGCGTAAAACCTTAATGCTTTTGTTCAAAGAACGGATGTTCGTTATGAACAGTGTCTTCGAACACTGGAGCTTACGCAAGTAATCCTAGTACAGGAAAATCTGTGCCTCGAATTCAATGATCGCTTTCATAATCGCTTCGAATGATGTTCGAAGCTCTTTAATGGATGCTGCGGTCAAGACAGGCTTAAAGCTGGCAACTGTTGCTACCTTGTCGCTGGCATCCTCCGCTGCAAACTGCGGAATATTACACAAAGATCTGGTGCCAGAATTAACTTGAGAATGAAATAGAAAACACACTGAGACGGAAAAATGAACAGTTACGTCCCACGGTGCTTTAAATAGATACTATTTATAACACTACTAATATGGAAAGCAAACAGAGGCTTGTTTACACGTCAAACCCATTGTGCGTGCGAAGAAAGCTGAATTCAAGAGGCTGCCTGGAAACAAAGACCACTCAACTCCAATGCATTATCAAGAAGCCCGCAAGGTATAGCTAAAGCAGTGGCTTAAATAATGGTTATCACCTGGTCAAAGATAAGTGATGCCGTGGAGTAGAATTTTCGTAAAGGAACAACGTATTCTGAAAAACTATCCCACTCTTATCGAAAATCAGTTTAAGATTCGCGAATGACAATACCAAAGACGATTTCTCATCAACGAAAAGGATATGCTTCGATGATGGAAAGAGAATTCTGAAGAACTTCTTAGTCCAGAGCAACTGCAGGAAGACTCGTTTGAAGTGGATCAGAAAATTCACATTAGAGGTTTAGTAGAGAAAGTCAGTACCGCAATAATCTTGAAAAGTTGCAAGGCTTCTGAAATCGGTCAAATTTGCAGTGAAACGCTTGGAACTTTAGATACACAGGATGAAACTACAGCGTATCTGTTATCCTGCAATAACCGCGGAGAAGACGCTGTGGAGTGGAAAATGGATTATAGTATCCATATTCAAGAAGGAAGATCATACAGGAAGTTGAAGTTAGCAGGATATCATCTCACAGAGGTTGCCGTAAAAAATCAACGCGAAGGTTATGGAAAGGAAGTGCTGTAGGAAATCAAAGTCCAGGAAGAGTAAACAGACTTTTTCACAAGCCTAAACACTATCGATCAGGACTTCAACGTATGCCAGTTTCCTGAAAAATTGTGTATGCTGGATCACGAATCATTGACACTTATCTCCGAGGAGGGTGAAATCTCCATCGTCTATTTGTGTTGTTTATGGATAGGACAATCAGATGAAATCAGGATGACGGTTGCGTCAGAACATTATATGTCAAGAAAAGAACTCTGTTCTTTGCAGCCGATATTATATTTCTGTAATCTTCCAGAACGAATATCTGTGGCACCTTGGAAATGTGCGTTACCGACCGCGATATGATCCGCATGATAACGATCTAATACCAAAACTTAGTGATTTCTTTACGTTGAATCTGCAGCGCGCAGTAGTTAAATGGACGAGTATTAGAAATAAATTACTTGCGATGTAAAATTTGAGGACGACTTTAGTCGGCGAATCGGGATGACCAGCGAAAATCTGCACTGAACCGTTTTGAAGCAAGCAGAGCTGTGCTTCAGCCTGAAACCTGTTTGTGCTAAAGTCAGTTTTCATCCCGTAGCTCGCGAATGATCATAATTGGTGGGCCGTTGCTGAAAAAGTGCATTGCCAACTGTCAACAAAAATAATAAACTTTCTGAAACGAATCGCTCCGGTAGAGCGTCCTCACATAGCCTAGACAGCCGCATAAGCCTTGGTGTAGATCAAAGTTTGTTTAAAATGAGAAGGCACGTCTGCGAAATTTCGCACATTTTGTTAATGCTTCCAGAAAGGAGAATAAAAGAGCTATTGCTTGTTCATCAAACGACCAAAGACACGGGAAAGGTCAAAAATGATATTTTAAATGGTTCGATGGACAGTTCTCCGTAGTCAAATTATGTTCTGCTCAATCTGAAACGTTGACAAAGAACCTAGAACATTGTGGCACTATTTGGCTCTGTTTTCTCCACGATCCTAAAAACGCACAGTCGTCGAATTTGAATGAGGACGTGATCACGGACAACTACAGGAATCGACTGCCTCAAACTGACGATAGTTTTCTAGAATCAGGTGCCAGATTTCTGTTTAGCTTGCTCAGCAGTCAAAGCTTACAAAAACTCAAAAAAAAATTCTCTGCTAACATAATTAAATGATTAAATGTTCAAAGGTTATCAACTTAAGATTATCAGCAGTGTCCAAATCCTCTGGACGGCCTAACATTTTGCTAAAAATGGAAGAATTACCATCAAGAAATGAAGTTTTCTTAAGTAAGAATAGGTCATTTAGCTGTCATTTGTTATCACGAAATCTAATATTTAAATATATACGGTAATTCAAAAAATCAAATACCTAGGCTTGGAATGCTCGGAATACAGCTAGACATAATAATAGTATTTTTCCGTACCCATAAAAGAAGACATTAGAAGGAACCTGCAAACTTTTCCCCCAAAAAGTTTTTGACAGTACCCTTTGCGCTCTGTTGCAACTTCCTCGTTATGTCTTATTTTCAACAATTTAGGTTAAAGATTTGCTCTTGTCATGCCTCGATTACCACAAGTAGGTTGTCGACAGGTGGCGATTGGATATGTACAGTACAGAACAGACTTTTACCTCGGCGGCGGTGTTGGCGGTGTACTTGCTTGTATGTTCCCTCGAATCTGCCCTGTGAAACCTCGCAGCGTCGTTGGATGTCAGTGGATCTTTCAGACAGGTAAGAGCTCTAATATTTGTTTTGTTGTCACTGTAAGTTATTTAGACTGCGCGGCTGCGTTTAGGATATTTGTGTACTTTCTTATGTAGCGTATGGTTAGTTTGGATAACACAGTTTTGCATCTCCAAAATCTTAAAAGGTTCTTCATCCGACAGACTTGTTTGGCGCTTTTCTGACGGTTGACCTAAAACCATTGTTCCTAATCCATATCTCAGTGTCATTCACTGCATTTTGCAGGCTCTACATATTCCACATATCGGGCTCCCGTCCGAGGAGCACGGTATCATCAGAGTACTTGATGCAGGAGACAGGTCTGGCGATGCATAACGAGCTCATGTAAAAGTAAAGGAGCAGGGGTAATTGCACTGAGCCTTGTAGAACGTCCATGTTGTTTCACCTTATCAACGAGGGGCGCCTTCCAACTGCGATGAACTGTCTTAGATCAGAAAAATAATCTGCGAGCCAGAGGAGCCAGTTGCTCTCTGAACTCGTCTTCTGCAGACAGTAGAGAAGACCAACCCTTGGCACGAAGTTTATAAAGCCACTGACATGTCAAAGAGGATCGCATTCGTATTGGTACTTCCACAGTCACGTGCAGAGACTAGCGAATCCGTGCAGCAGGCTAGAACATCTAGGGTGGAGCGACCCCATTTAAAAGCTAATTGCCAGCTATATTTCGCTCCATGAAGTTGACTGAGGGAGGAGCCCCTTCCGAAAGAAGGCTTCGAGTGCTGTAGGCAATAAAGGTCAAGGCGATTGGACGAAATTCTTCCGGTTTGGTCGCAGCAGCTGTCTTTGGAACATGAGCAATTTTGGAAGTCCGCCAGCAATCCTGAATGATTTCAGAACTCAGACAGTTATGCAGATGGCACAACACCCCACTTAGTTCGGTTTTGCACCGCACTAACAGTTTAGCTATGACCCCATCTGTCGTGGGAACGCTGTTTGATCTGAGGTAGGCGAGAATACGCCGCAACTCCAATTCTTCG